AAGGAAAGAACGAAACCAGGGGCGGTTCCAGGGGAGGGGTGCAGGGGGTGTGCACTCCTCCCTGGTTCGACTTTGTGCCCCTACTTCAAAGATAACCAATGCTATTTTTTCCTTTCAATTCTAAGGGGTGCACCCCTCCCTGGGTTAACTTTGTGYGCAGCACCCCTCCCTGAACAAAATCCTGGATCCACCCCTGGAAACGAAACAAACTATACTCAGATGGAGCAGTTATTCTTTTAATGATTTTAAAAACAAATCTTAAATGTTTTTATTTTTTTCCCAAGTATTTGTGATGGAGCAACTTTACAACTTGTTCTTGCCATGCGTGGAGGACCAATCAACACTAGAAGAGGTACAGACTAGAATTCGTATTTAAAAAAAATACAACCTATAATTTAATCCATACTAGGATATTGAACCATCATTTTTGTCTATTAACAAATCATCATATGTCTGTGTTATTCTTCCATAATCCATACGTCTTTGATATAATCCTAGAGATTAGGTTGCATGATCCAATATCAACGTTGTTCTGATAACAGCTGTTTCACATTCACTGATATAAAAGATGCTAACTAGAGATAGACAGACTTGTTGTCTTCTTAAGATACCTCCAGGAAACTAAATATTAGCCATTTCCAGGTTGAGATAATTGGCTCGAGCTGTTATTGCAGTACATGTACATTTTGGGGCTGTCTTAGGGGATAAAAGAGGTGCTATCTTGAAAATAGTCCTCTTAAAAAGCCTCAAAATGCATTGCAATATGCAGCCGCAAAATAGACTATGAGCACTACCTCTATTTCACTTGTCAATTTTTTGTTATCTTTGGGTAGCCTATTATCCTTGGGGGAGGGGATTGCTATAAATTTAAGCAGCCAATGAAGAAATAATTTGTTCATTGCTTTGATATCTTTTATTCATGTGATTTTTAGTTCCAATGGAGGATCCAAGTTTACAAGAAATGGCTGAATACATGGAAGCCAACCAGTGAGTATACCTATCAGACATTCTGAGTTTGAGAAAACAAAACTGGGTCCAGTTGGCATTGCAATGCATTGTGGGGCTGTTTTAGGGGACRAAATAGGCCCCATCTTGAAAATATTTCCCAAAAATAAAAACAGCAAAATATTTACATGCATGTCAATTGTTGAATTCAAGATCTTTTACAATCATTGTCAACTTAGGTTAGCGAACATCGTTCGTTGTAGGTGACCAGGCTCAAATACCAAATAGCTCAGTTGGTTGGAGCGTCTGACTACCAAACAGAAGGTCACTGCTTGAATCCAGCCTGGAGCTCAGAATTTTTTTTTTCTGAAAGATTTTCTCAATAAAACATAATTCACATCTTCAATTAACAGTTTCCTTTTTTATTATTTCAGAGATGAGATCTGGGACAGACTACCCAAGGATAACCGTCAAGTAACACTGCTCGTTTTTAGAGATGGTGATCAATTGAATTTTTTCCGTGTAGTTGACAGAGGTGATGGAACTCTGACACCTCTATCAGATTCACTGAGGTATGTTCATATCTTCTGAGTCTACAATATTCACATTTACCTTCACCTGCAGCTTGTCTCGCAACATGTTTACACGGCTAGCGCTAATGTTCCATGCAACTTGTGATGCAACGCTGATGCGAGACAAGTTGCAGAGAATATTGCTTCACGTAATCGCGCCTTACAGTCAAACCACCTCAAGTGTGAACACGTAGAGATCATTAATGACTTTATTTATGGATTCTTGATTTCATTAATCGATTCGAACATTCATTATTGAAAATGAATCTTCAAAGCCTAGCATATACATAAGCCAAACATATATGCAGCTGATATGCATGAGCAACTTTTTGTGCAAGGAATATGTAATATTAATGGCTTACCTTCTGTTTCCACTATAAACGAGAGCCTATGAGCCAAGTTAATCAAATTTCCAACCTTTATTACTTTTTGAATATTGAAGATTCGTTTTCATTAATGAATGTTCAAACGAATAATGAAATCAAGAATCCAAAAATAAAGTCATTAATGATCTCTACGTGTTCACGCTTGAGGTGTTTTGACTGTAAATGTGGTGGTTGTGAATGGGAAGTGTGTTATACACCTTAGAAGCATTAGACTAGGGAAACTCAGCAATTGGTGATTTGAAAAAAAAAACAAATGCAGGACACTTGTCCCCTGTAACCATACGTTCTTTGTAAATTTTTGACACTTTTGATGAGCTGGTGACTCTGGTTCTCTTAATTCCTCCAATATTTGCCAGCATTACTAAAATTGAGATGTTTTCTCAAATGACAAACATTTTTTGCTAATATTATTGTGAAATTCTAAACTCACGCCATGGCCAATGGCTTCTCATATCAGTACAGATCAAAATATGCTGCTGATTATGAAGTGACCGGAAATCCAAAATGGCTTCCTCTGCAAACAATGTGTGTGGATTCTTCCAGTGACGTCACTTGGCAAATACAATGGATTCCATTGTTACGGAAATTACCCAAAACGATTGGCTGAGAAGCGTTATCCGAAAAATGCGAAATCTAGCCAGCTCGATAGCTCTTCACAAGCTAGAAATGAAGTTTTATTTATTTTGTTTCACCTTTTCTTTTAGTGGAGCATCTATGTATAATTTGTATGACGAAGAAGAAGAAGAGTCCCAAAAGCCTGTATCTCAGGTTTGTACCCTTTAAAAGTATCTGTATTGCATGCACATGGAAATGCACATGCACAGTGTATTGTGTGCCTGAAAACAAAAAGTGTGCAAGGGATTCTGGGAGTTGTAGTATATGGCACTATAATCTAAATTGCCTATCAGCAGTTATTTTGCTTTCATTCACTCACACTAATTTCAGGGTATGTGAGTAATGGGCAAGTTGTACCCATTCACTGATCGTTGGTTGGTCCTTATAGATTTTCAGTATTTTTTTGGACAGTAACATGAGAATGTATTATGACTTCCTATCACCTAAATGATTCCTAACACCATTTCCAGGAAACATTAAAGGAAAACAAAGTGACAATGAATAAGATGAAGCTGTTGCGTCACAAACTACAGTCACAGAAAATTACTAAGGTATGTGCTCATATTATTCTTTCTTTTTAATTATTAAAAGCTGGAAACTGCAGTTCATTACTTCAATCATTCATTGATTCCCTTTTTTATTATTTCATATTCTCATTTGTTCATTTATTCTTTCATTTATTTCCTCATTTATTCGTTTGTCCATTCACTCATTCATATACACCTAATTGAAAAAACATTGTTGGGTTCGAGAAGGTCATATCATCGAAGCTAAGACCAAAAAGGATTTTGTGTACTCCGAAATTCGTATTATATTTGCATATAGACATGTAAAAATGCACAGTAGAGCAAAGTCGGTTGACCTAGATTAACATGCCAAAGCCATTCTCTGAAGATTTACGCTGGAGAGCTGTTTGGGTGCAGTATTTTGTCTTCCCATGYTCCCCTTCGGTCTTAGCTTTGATGATATAACCTTTTTTGAACCCGACAGCGTTTTTTCAATAATATTAGGTGTATTCATTTTTCATTCATCCATACCTTTGTTCATTCATCCATCCATTCATTCCTGTTTTTTTTATCCATTCATTTATTCATTAATCCATTTCCTCTTTCATTTCATTGAGTTCATTTATTCATTCTTTCATTCATGCATTTTTCATTCATTCATTCATGTATCATTGGTATTGCTAGCTATCTACTCAACGGGTCAACATTTTGATGCATGACAATGCAGAAGCTCTTCCTGAAGAAATCTTTGAAACCCCAACAATCGTTGTGTTTGCAAGTGAACAGGTCATTCTTATTTCTACTCTGTGGATATAGTCTGTGACAACTAACAACTAGGATCAAAACCATTGCATTTTTCAATACATAAACATCAAATCCCACTCACTTTTGGTAGATGTTGGGATAGATTTAATCAGTTGGTCTGACATTTTTTCACTTGTTCATTCATCCATCTCTTGTTCACCATTCATTTGTTTATCCATTTCTTTTTCCATTCATTCATTCATTCATTTAATTATTTATTTACTTATTTATTCTTCTTTTCAATTTTTTTTTTCATTCATTCATTCATCTTTCATTCATTCATTTATTCTTTTAGTTATTAACTTTTTCATTATTCGTTCATTCATTTATTCATTCATCCATCCATTCATTCATTAACTTTTTCATTATTCATTTGTTCATTTATTATAATTCATCATTCATTCATCCATTCATCCATCCATTCATTCATCCATTCATTCATTATTCCATCCATTCATTCATCCATTCATTTATTAATTTTGTCCATTAATTCATTAATAATTATAATTATTCTAATCCTTTTGTACAGCCTGAAATGCTTCCTCATCCACCATCTGTTGAGAAACCTAAGACCATTGCTCCCAGTGCACGACGAAGGTGAGATTGTCTAGCCCTCACGGTTTATAACTCATTTATTCTCACGCAAAGTAGGGCTAGCAACTATGAGGCAACTCCAATCTTAGTTAAGAAAATTTGTATTGTGCTGCTGACTGTTACAGGATCTTTGTATGCCAGGTCAAGGCTGGAAATAGGAAACTTTTTTAGCCTGCCATAGTAAAGGAGCATGGTAAAAGGAGGTCATTCCAGTAAATTTCGCATGTCATTTTATAATTCATTTGGCAGTGCATCCTTATAATCGCCTGCCAAACCTGAAATTTGGCTTGTCATTTGGCCATTTGCAGGTCACTATTTCGAGCCCTGCAGGTTTTCTTGCAACGCATGTACAAATTCAATAAATACATATATGTACAAGTACATGTGTATGTATCACACATCACATATGGTAATCGAAGATGCTGATTGGTCAGCTCTACCAAGTTTTTGTTGAATTTTGCTTAGCACATCTCATGCTGTCTTGCAAATTAGATAAAAGATAAAAAAATGTTTGAATTTTCGATGAGTCAAACAATAGTGACATGCCATACACACTGTTCTATAAAGTAACATTCTTCCCCGGGGGTACTCTTGCCCGTTTAGGGTAGGGATGTGCCGCTGAGTCCTTTAAAACCCTGACCCTGTTCCAAAGTAAAATCGCTGAAATTCATACCCTGTTCTAGGGCAAGATCTCTGAAAGCCATAATTTTTTCCGGTAGTGCGAAAATAGATACCCTGTTCCAGAGAGGAGAGAGCGTGATTTTATATACCCTGTTCCAGAGTAGAATCGCTGAAAACCATACAAGCCCTCGCAAGCCCACGTACCAAATTTAGGGGAGTACCCCCCCCCCCCCCCCCAGGCATTCTTCTCACATCTCCATTGCTTCTCAGACTGGAGTTTCTTTTTTTTTTATTATTATTATTTTACCTTCCCATAAGTTTTTAAAGTTTTCCAGGGACCAAATTCTTTAACCTTTGGTTGGTTATTTATCATTACTAAATCATTAGTTTGTTCTTGACATATTGATGTAACAGTTGTTTTTTTTTTCTCTCCCATCAGGTTACGTCTTAGCGATGCCTCTCACAAGCAACAAACAAGTCAAAAAATAATAAGCCCCAAAAAACCAGAAAAATCTAATATGAAGTCATATCTACCCCACCCCCCTCCCCCTATGGAAGCCAATGGTGCTAAAAGGGGAGAAGGAGGGGGAGGTAGTGGGAAGGAAACGAAGGAAAAAGGTCACCTACCACCTGTCAACACTAAAAAAGGAAAACAAATAGATGTATCAGACTTTTTACCAAACACACAAGACTCTAAACCAGTAACGAGTTTAAATAGTTCGTTGACAAGAAGTGCATTCAAAGATGGCAGAAGGAGTATTTCAGAACTGGTTAAAGACGCAAAAGAGATAAAACCTCTAGGAAGTATATCTAAACCTAAAGTGACTTCAAAACATAAAACTTCTAGTCCGCAATATGGAGATTCTGTTGAGTACCATTTATCAGGGAGTGCACGATTACAGAGATCGAAAAATAATCATTCGTCACGCAGGACTTCAGTTTCCCCCAGTRGGGACAATCTAGAGTATATATCTGGTGGCAGTACTATACGGAGGTCTAGGATACCAGAAGAGTATTTACAAAGTGGATACCAGGGGGAGGCGATGCCTACTAGTGCTGGACTGACAAGGTTACGAGGCTTGGAAAATAGAGTACATACACCTGAGAGTCGGCAAAATGGATTTCGTGTAAGTACATTGGGTTTTGTAGAGGTGGGCAGTGTTTTTATGATTTATTGCTGCCGTTAGAGAGAGTGATAATTGATAGTTATGAGTAGTGCAGTTTTGTATGATTGTGAAAAGTTCACGGCACGAACACGGTCATGACACAGCAAGGGATACTCCAGACCAATCACATTGCACGAGAATTTACTCTCCATCCAATCAAATACCCGGAACACGGCATAAACACGGCGCGGACACGGTCACGCCAAGATCATGGCACTTTTAGACCAATCATATTGCGCATGAAAAAAATCAGCCAATTAAAATTTCTAGAAAGTATAACGGTCACGGCACGTCACGCTTACGGTACTGAGCTTTTCACAGTCATACGAAAACTGCTCTAACCCAGGCCTTAAAGATAACAGCCAGTCATAGACGATGCCAAAATTGCAACTTGTCTGGTCATTTTGACTCGTAATGCTGAGCCAGAAACGAGGTATGACTGAGATAAAACTAATAGGAGTCATTAGAGTTACGCTCATTGCTTTCAAACTATTTCTGCGTTTGGGTCATTTTCTATACATTTTATTATAACTTTGATAAAGATCATTAAACTTTTAATTGACATGTTTCGACGTTGTCAAACGCCATCCTCAGAAAAAGAAATACAAGTGTACACAACGTATAAATAGAGCAGAGTAACAAAGGAGTTGAATAATTAACATAGTATTAAGTACATAAGGCGTGAGAAAAAAACATTTCAGTGAATARTACAGCCAAAGGTAACATTTATAAAGATAGTTTTAGGTTGAAATGAAAAAATTTGTTGATTTAAAGTGGGCTTTTCCCAGAGGATGTCAATGTCAACATGTCAATTAAAAGTTTAATGATCTTTATCAAAGTTATAATCAAGTTCTTGCTGCCTGGACCATTTGGCTCTATACATTTTAATTGTTGAATGGACACAAATGCCTCAACTAGAAACAATAATGTTTGAAAGAATAACTTTATTTGGCGGGGCATCATGACTGGTGACTGACTGGCCGTTATTTTAACCAATGATAACTTGTGACCTGTTTAATGTCTCTCAATTTATACACAAAAAGGGGGTGATCATTGAAGATCGTTAAGGTGTCATTGTTGGACCTCTTGAGTGGAATTTCTTTCCATTTCAGACCATGTGTTGCACATTCCCTAGAGCATCATTCCTTTGTTTAACAGTTGCTCATGAGAAGACACATGAATATGGATACAACCCAAACAAAGAATCTTATTCTCAAGACCATGCGTCATTCCCCAGAGCATTATTTCTTTGTTTAACGGTTTCACTTATTCTCAAAAGAATGACACTTGGTCTGAAATGGGAAAACATTATACTTCAATAAAATTAATGAGGTCTATTGTTAAAGTAATAACTGAAGTACCAATATCTCATCATAATGTCTTTTTTCCACATAGAATGGTTCAAGCAGCTATAAACATAACCATGAACGCTCAGGTATGTATGTAGTTCGTTTCTAATGGGTCACACCACTCTATATCCCAATAAATTTTGGGCAATTGTTTTATATTATTTGATGTGATTCATATTCCAGTGGCTCCACCCCATCATCTGCCTCCCGTCAAGACACATCCTCCACAACTTGTACCAAGTAAAAAGAAAACACGGTGCTTCTTTTGTGGAAAAAAGACTGGATTAGCCACTACCTTCCAATGCAGGTAAGAAACTAGCGGGGGGAGGGGGGCAGCTGTGATGGCATTTACACCTGCAGGTATGATTTTCACATATATGTTGATGTAGATATTGCAACATTTCTGATCCTATTTTGAATTCGCATTTGCTCAGTCTTAGCCTCGATTGTGTAAAAATGTGTTATTTTCTTTCATTAAGACCCATTGCATAGTAGGGAATGTATGCACTACGGAACAATACAAGTTGATTAAGATTCCATAATTTTGGTTGAATGACTGAATATTTTGATGCACAACTGAGGCTAAGGTTGAGCAAAAGAGAATCAAAACTGGAGTGTACATTAAAGAATCTAACGTAGCAAAAATAATTCACATTTGTTTCTACCAAAATCTTTTACATTGTCCATGCTACTCCATCAAGTTTTGGACGCACGCTTACACATGCTATTTAACCAATTGGAAAGTGTGTTATATAGTTGCTATTTTATAACTAGAATTGGCAGAGTCACCTAATTTATTTATTTGTTTATTTATTTATAATAACTTTATTTGCAAACAAATAATAATAGAAAAAAGTTGCAAAAAGGGTGCTGCCAGGGAAGAACTGAATCCTCATATTATACGGCAGCCCCCACTAACTAATAACAATGAAATCTCTGGTAGAAAAGAAAATTATAAAAATTGTTATGAAAATTATTATAATTGAAAAATAATTCTTATTGTATGGACTAATCAAATCATTCCCTTTCTTCCAGGTGTGGAAATACTTTCTGTGGTACTCACCGCTACGCTGAGGTCCATGGTTGTACTTATGATTACAAAAGCGAAGGGCGTAAAATAATTGAACAAAATAACCCAGTTGTCGCAGCACCTAAACTTCCTAAAATCTAAAAACATATATAATTATTGTATTGCAGTAACTCTTTGTAAATATAAAGATTGCAATATTTCACCTGTCTACTTCCAGCTATGTTTTCATGGTATTATTTAACGGGTCAAAAAGTCGGTCACTTTTTTCTTCAACTATGTGGATACTAGATATTGAAATTCCAATTATTTTGTATAATAGAATATCAAAGTGGTAGTGTAAGAGAATTCCTGAGTGAATGAGTGTTTTATAAATATTAGTCATGAACACTTTGCTATGCAAATTTTATTGTCTACAAGTGGTGTGTAGTAAGTCTTAAATTCAATTGAGCAGTTTTTGTATGACTGTGAAAAGCTCAGTAAGGTAAGTGTCATGCAGTGACCGTGATGTTTTCTAGAATTTTAAYTAGCTAATTGGCTTTAATGTGATTGGTCTGGAAGTGCAATGACCTTGGTATGGCTGTGCCATGGTTATACCATGTTACGGGTATTCAATTGGATGGAGAGTAAATTCTCAAGCAATTTGATTGGTCTGGCATATGCCTTGCCGTGTCACTACCATGTTTGTGCTGCAAGCTTTTCACAGTCATATGAAAAGTGCTCTACCAACTACATTTTTCTGGTTTCTAAAATCAGTACACAGTCAACTGTCGGTTCCAAAATTTCTAAAACACAATTTTAACTAATAATTGTCTTGAGGATTTGATTCTTAGGGTTTGAATTAAGGTATTGGAGAGTTAAAAAGAATTGGAATAATAGTCTTTTCCGAATTTGCTTAGATGACAACGAAACAATGGTTTGAAGTCGAKACTGAACTTGATTYTTTTATTCATCAAGTYYRACCTCAACTTGATATCATTGTTTCATGACCAGTGAAGCGAATAGCCCGATCTTTATTTACGTTTTTCCTCATGAGCAATTWAAAAAATTTCAAGCTTCAAGCAAACCAACTCCAGTATGATTTATAAAGAAATGTATGGTCGTGTGTGTAATCATACATTTCTTTGTAATTTATAGTGTTTTCAAAAAAATTTTGCTCCCAAAATATGAAACATTACTCTCAAATTTTCAATAGTTACTAAATAAGACATTCTCTTTCGATTTCTGGAGTTGGTTTGCTTGTAGCTAGAAATTTTTTATGCTAATGAGGAAAAAAAGTAAATAAAGATTGGCCTATTAGAAAGGTCTATTAGGCTACTTTTTGTGATAGGAAGAGGACAGTATAATCATAGTATTACAATAAATGCCGGCAGCCATCCACTGGTAATAATAAAATCATCTTCTGTTTAAAATTGAATCTTGTCATGGTTTTAAAGCAAACACGGGACTGCACCACAAAAATTTGAACTCCTCTGTGATAGCAATGTTATGTGCAAAACTTACAATATCGGATACCCTGTGTGATTTTATTCCCAAATAAACAAATTGTTACGTTTTGTCGTTTTAATTTGCAACAAAGTCAGAACTGAAATCAGCTTATGACAAAGTGAAATTAACCAGAAAACGGAGTTGGAATCTGAAGTCTGAAGCACGTCGGAAGTGAAATTGGAAGGTTTCCTTTTGCTTAGCTTGTCCTTACGCTTATACAAACAGTTTTCACTTTCAATTTCACGCATGAACTGCTTCTGACTTGGACTCTGTCGCAAATAAAAACCAGGCTTTGAATGTTCTTTTAGGAAAAATTTTCCACAATTTGCTTTGTCTTGTAAGATCCCACTCTTAATCCCATTTTATATAGTCTCCTCAGAGCCTTTCTTAATGTTGTCATGCAACGCTCCCTCCCCACAAATGTTTGTGTGAAGGGAGCATTGCATAAGGACACTAACAATAGCTGTGGAGGAGACTGCATTTTATACAAGTGAAAAATAATTGTTAAAAGTACATCATTCTAACTTTATCACCAGTGAGGTGGTTTATTTTTCCATTCATTTTTTCCATTTATTATTATTCATTGTTTGTGAATCTTTTATTATTATCAAAATACTTTTAAATATCAATAATGGAATTGCATTCATGGTGTAATACAAGAATTAGCATTGCACTCTTAGAAAACAATTACAAAAACATCCTAGACTAGACTATCAAAAATAATAGAGACCCATGTATTCAGTGCTCTTCACCCTCCCCCGTAGTAGTACATCAGTATGTGTATTGCTGACTGTAATGCCTGGAATAAGTTACAGAAATATTCAATTTAGTGAGAAATTTACCTTAATGTGTATTTCCAGACATCCGTACCCCCCATGGAGGAATTCTTTTAAAGACCCCCCCCTGGAAATTCCAATTCTCTTCTATACAAACTCTGTAATTTTGTTCTTTCTCTGACCCACCCTACCCCTCAGAACAATGAACATTTCTGTTTTTAACGTGTGATTATATCCACAGGATTTTTTGTGGTGTTGGGGGCGGGTGTGGGGGAGTCGTTTTGAAAATATCATAAAATGGTTAGTGTACTTACGATGTTGAACTAGAGACAGTTCCAGATCTTGATCTTTGAGTGCTTGGTGTACATGATCTCGGTCTGAGTGGTAAATGTCTATCTCTGTTCTCATAGTGTACCCTAGGGGTAGGGGTACTGGACCTCAATACAGGGCTGTGCTGATGTGACGTTCCTGGTCTCGAATAGATACTATGCCGGTCGTACGTGTTATTTACTGTGGATTGAAAACATCCAATCAGATGCTTTATATGATGTCAACAAAAGACCTTTCCTGAATTTACTTGGGTGACTGGGAAGCAATGGTACCTGTGAAGTCAGGGTTGGACTTGATAAAATACAGTAAATGTATGAACACATCAAGTCCAGCCTCGGCTTGGAGTCAATGTTTTGTGGACACAAGTGAATTCATGAAAGGTTTATTATGACAAGTTGTTTTTTAGCAATGCAAATATTCTAGAACCAGTCCCTTAGTGAAACACTCTACAGRGAAGTATGCATGTATACCAGGGCCAGTCATGGTCACTATGTTGCCTCAGTAAATTGTCACAGATGTGCCCCTCRATACTCTATAAAATCCCATTTCCAATGGTCTCGATGTGTAGTTCCAGAAATCATCCATATAATACCCACCCCATAGAGGAATTTGGAATTTCTGAAGAGTGGGGGGGTCAGAGAAAGAACAAAAATTACAGAGTTTGTATGGAAGAAAATTGGAATTTCCGGGGGATAGGGGGGTGTCTTAAAAAGATTCCTCCGTGAGGGGGGTATGGATAATTTTTGGAACTACACAATTTCAATTTTTTTAGGGCGGCCTGCCTGCAACCCCCCTAGTTCTAGTTGCTCCTCTTTTTGCCCTCTAATTTCTCAGTAAAAATTTTGGTCTGGCTATGCCCCTGCATACTTGGGAAGATGGTAAACATGTGTGCTTTCTCCCCCTGCTAATTGGCCATGAGTTTGATCCCAGGAATCAGATGTAATTTATTTGGTTAATAATTTATTCATTTACTCATTTTTGCTGTAAGAACTTTCAAAATGCCAAACTGATCCAAGGGATCTAGAAAAAAAATTGTTAAGTTACTAATGCTGTCCTTTACCTGCTGGTCCTTCCTCTTGCTGGTCCCGCATATCAGGATACCTGTCATATTCGAATCGGAAATAATCAATATTCTCCACAGAAACAATCAGAAGTATAGATATTAAGTAAACTCACCAGGGATTTTGGTACAAATGAGTGTGTCTGTCTTCACATTCTTGTCTAAATTCTCCTCTCTGATTAAAAAATATGAAGGTTAATAAACATCTGGTGACGTCATTATATAGTTCAATCTGCAGTTCATGTGTGGTCCCTTTTATTATCCAGGGGGGGCGGGTACTCCAATATATGGACTATACGGGGATGATCCGCTGAACAGGGTATATGGTTTTTCGAGCTTCTTGTCATAAACAGGTATGCAATTTCACTCAAGTTCCAAGTTCTTCCTGAGTTTCCTCTCATATTCAGGGATTCTACTTTTGTATTGACTGAAACTGGTTATTATGGTCGTAAAAAAAACGATAAGCGAGATGACATGATAATTGAAACAGGAACTCAGTGCAATATACTATATTTTTTATCACAAACAGGGTCTACAAATTTGAGTTTTTTTATCATAAACAGGGTAGTCCCCTTTCAGAATCCCAGCGGAACACCCCTACCCAAATTCTGGCAGAGTACCCCCCCCCAGGTTTATTAGTTACTCTCCCCTCCCCTCATATTTGCAAGTTTTCCGATACAATTCTTAACTCTGACAATGAGAGTACATGCATAAATGTACAGGTGGACATACCCCAACAAATTGGAACAGAAAATGAGACTTTATTCAATATCTGATTGAAATCCAGCAATGAAATGATCAAGGGTGGATCCAGCCAAAATTTTAGGGGGAGGGGCTAATTGAGTTTAGGGGGAGCTAATTGAGTTTCTTCTGTCAACACAACGGAAAACAATATAAAAAAGCATCAGTTTTTTTTCTGCTGAAGGGGGGCTTCAGCCCCCCTTTGCCCCCCCTGGATCCGCCYTTGGTGAATAATGATGATATAATTTCATAATATTTTCCTTACCATAATCTGTTGACCACTTTTTAACCTCTTGATGTCATGAAATAAGTTTAAACCCCATCCAATTGCTCCAACCTTAAAATTTTTTAAGATATTGTGCATTAATACATATAGGTCAATATACACTATGCACACAATGCACTAGTTGTAACATCTGTGATGGCAGGATCAATCAAGCTGGTGCGACATGTCCTATCGCTGCTGCATGCACCATTAATTGCTCACAACAATTTCTATTTTGCACAGCCATGTTGGTGGTAATAGAAACTAATGAGAAGTATATAATATATATATACATAGCCAATACAGTACCACCAAGATGGCTGCGATGACATAATGATGTWAYRARMWWASAAAAATTACAAAAAATAGACCTTATAAGTTTATGTCTAGACTCGTGTTGTACTTACACTTGCTGATTTGGGTGCAGGAAAAGCCCATCTCTGAAAATCATGAAATAAAAAATAATAATTGCTCTTAATTCTCAAACTATTTGGGATTTTTTGAGGGAAATGACCAACTCTAATTTCCTCACAGGAATGGGCTTAAAACTGTCCCTGTGTACTGTCCCTGGGTTATGTTCTCATCTTTGATTGACCTATAAATTACCATTATCCTAGTCCTGCCTGGTCTTAATTCATCAATGGACTTACACTGGTTCTGGTCACATGGTACTACCATTACCAACAAATATCTATACAACTGACTCACACATAGAACCAGCACAGACTGATTCTGCATCACTGGTACCCTCTGGTCACATGGTACTACCAATGCCAACAAATACCAATACAACTGACTCATATATAGAACCAATACCACTCACCCTGCCTGGTCTCCACAGATATTCTGCATCACTGGTACCCTCTGGTGACATGGTGCCAATACCAACATACGTTGGCTGCAGTCTCGTAACTCTCTGATTGGATATAGCATCTGGTCCTAAAATATACAGTATAACAAATATTAATGAATTAGCAGTAGCAGATCAGGGGGGTGTAGGGGAATTCATTCCGGCCTCTCGGCTCCTTTTTGAAAAGGGGTTCGCAAATGGGGGTGTAAGCAGTATACCCCCCTTCCCTTTTAAATTCCTAGATCCAGCACCGATTAGAAAAGAAAAGTGAAAGTTGTATTTCCTCTCTCACCCTCCCCCATCAGTGATATGTCAAGTTTTTTTTCAAATAATTCATTTTCAATGTAGCTGGCCCAGTTATCGTCTACGTTCTTATGTAGCGATATGAAATATTTTAATTTCTGATAATTGTGACTCACAGAACAATAGCAGTAAACCATATTAAAACACGTGAAACAAGTACAGAGAAAAATTATAAAAAAGCGCGCATTCTTACAACACTAAGAACAAACTTTATGAAAAGAACAGTCAATCGATTAAACTACGGTATCTAAGCAAATGTCTCACTAGTACTATTATTTAAGTGAATCAAAACCAAAAATAAATGCAAACTTCAAGACGCCGGCAAAATGACAACAAAAGTTAACCAATTTGGAACTTTACTAATTAGTTAAATCGCGCGACTCGACGGTTCGAATTAAAGCCCTTGTGTTTAATAATAAGACCATATAGCGGCACCTACCAGTAAATACTACTTTTCCTTTGCCTATGTGTGGGTTATAAAACCTGTCCGATCCTGGAATAGAGTGGATTCGTATTCGAGTTGTGTCCGCCATGTCCAGCTGTGCCATTTCTGGTCACCAACGCCGTTGCTTAGAAACCAGACGGGACTACTAATTTATACGAAGTCGTACTTCCATTATTATTGGCACAGGCAGCCCGAATATAATTTTTTTTATAAATACGTGAAATTGTAAAAAAAAATGTCCTCAAAAATTTATTTTCAAGTCAATATATCGATGTGTGGAGTTTTCTTATCGCCTCCCGGAGTTATTTAGAGAGGTATTTTTAGCTATGCGAATTATCCAGGTAAATTTTTCTTAAAAATACTTACATTGGATCTACACATAATTTACTTATATTTAAGTTGCAAGTACTGTGATATTCTGTTAAATATGAAATAAATAAATTTGATCCAATCATTGAAGATTTATAGATGATTAATTAATCAAGATTAGTTCCTAGTTTTTCCCTTGCCTTCATTACCGTGTAGTCCTGGTCCAGCCCCTGTAATTTGTCCGCAGTCCCCCCAGAGATTTTCTCGGTCAGCAGTTCAGCGAGGCGAAGTGAACCTTGAAGAAGGAGCAAATTGGTCCCTAGAAAGTAAGTTTTCAACCATTTATCTCTAATTTCAACCATCATACTTCATATACTTTGAATTAGCAATACTTATTCTATATTTCTGCTAAGTTTAAAGGGTTTTGAATAAGGATTTTATCATGTTTCTGTCACCAGTTTTGTCGCGGTTGTGCAACCTGTAACGTGCCGGTTTACATGTATAAGTTTGTAGTCTTGTCTCAAAAACGTCCATTTTCAAAGCCTTTTACTCAAAAAATAAACTTTTATCCATACAATACTTCACTCTAACATAAAGAGTGATAGTATTTGATGCCGATAATGCGTAGAATTCCTTTAGATTTTGAATTTTCCTTTGACGTAACTCAAGATTATATTGCATTGTGAAGTTTTACAATAAGAAGGGAGGCGTCCTTATATCTTTAGAAGGAAGTTCAAAAATTCCAAATTTAATCAATCTTTTCTCCTTAAACAAACATCCTTATTGTTTTCCTACATCTGTGCTAGAATTCCAACCAGAAATCCAAGGACATCGAAATTACAGGGCTTAGAATTTTTAATTTTTTGGCGACAATTCGAGGTCGTGCAAACTACGATATAAAAGCTTTGTACAATCATGGTTAAGAATATTTAAAATCATTAAAATTTGCCAGATTTATTTATTAAAGAGCCTATTTTTCTTGTTTTCGTGCTGTGAATTCTCTGATTCAATGAAGAATTTCCAGAAATTCTTGAAATTCGTTTGAAATTTTTCACGGTTGATCAAATCTCTGTACACGTGTAGAAAATGTGTACTTCGCATTTTTTCCCTTTTATTAACTTTTTAAAATAATTTGTTATATATCTTTGTCTTGATTCGTATTTTATGACTTCATTTACTTAAAGTTTGTATCTTGCTCATTCTCATMTTAAAATTTTATATTGTTCAATGTGTTTACTGGCATTGTACCTTCATTTCTTTAGAATCTCATAGGAAAAATCTTATAGGAATCTTATGAATTTCCTTGATGTTAAAGTCAAACATTTTCTTCCATAAACAAAAAAATATTGGCATATTTAAATCTTTACAGTTTTTATRTGCATTTACTTAAATCTGTTCCACTTCATTCCACGACATTCATTGCAAATTTTTAAAATGGCTTGCATTTAATGCAACAAAAATTCTTAAATAATTTTGTGGCAAGTTAGACTTTCTCCAATATGTTTTAGGTCTTTAGATATTTATTACTTTAATTGGCTGTACCTGCATTATGTAATCCTAGTTGTTGTTAAACATTTAGTATTGATGTCTTATTCAACCACATATTGCTATTGGCGTTAACATTTTCAGAGATATAAACATTTGAAATATCAATATGCAAATGAGATGGCATAAATTCAAGAATGGTTACATTTTGCAGTGTGATTTACGACAAGTGTTCTGAAGTGAAATAACCTAAAAGTGTACAAAAAGACATATATTTCAGTTATAAGGATGATTTTGCAAATGAAAAAACAGCAGTACTTTCCACAACAGCATTTTTGTATAATAAATTAGTCTTGAATTTATGTCATCTCATTTGCATATTGATATTTCAAATGTTTACATCTCCTAAAAGAAAATTTTACATACAAAAATACTGCAACCATATTACTACACTATTCACATATAAGTGATTTTGAAAATAAAAATTTTCACTTGATATACACTTAAACAATAATATAGTTGTAAGATTTAGATCAGGTTTCAAAGTAATCACAAACTATCTTTTCAATGTATTTCTTCGATGCCAGTTCTTTATGCATATTGTGTAGTTTCAGAAATTATCCATACTCCCACTGCCACTGAGGATTTTTTTAACCCCCCCTCCCCCACTACCCCATGATTCCAATTTTAATTCCATACGAACTCTGTAATTTTGTTCTTTCTCTGAACCCCCTACCCCTCAGAAATTTAAAATTACTCTGTGGGGAGGGGGGGGGAGGTAATAGATAATTTCTGGAACTACACATTCATTAGTTTGTATTGAATTCAATTGCCTATTACTAATGCAGTATTAATTTTATTTATTTTTTTATTTTTAATGAGCCAAGTTTTAATTTATTTAAATAAGTTACTTTTATGCTATAATAGAGGTTTTGCTCTATCATTTACAGACAGCTGTGCTAGATAGCAGAACAATAAAATCCTTTTACTATCGGGAATATCTTATGTTGTTGTATTGTTGCTGCCATATGACATGTGCAGTCATATGATAGTGCAAAATATCTATTGATTTTATTCTTGTTTGTGTTGTAGTCAAGATGACTAAAATACCACCTAAGTATGATGATCTTGGCAAGGAATCTAGGGATGTCTTTGGAAAGGGCTATGGTAAGTTGACAGAGATCCTATCTACAGAACCAACGTTCCATATGCTCCTGTATTAATAATGATGATAATAATGCATTTTTCAAATATCATTCTATAAAGTCTAAATGCCCTTACATCAATGAATAAGAAAAACAAGTAAACAGTAATTGGCTATAAGCTACAATAAAGAATTCCGAATATACAACTATAAGGGGTGGCATACAGATATAACTRTAAAATATCTCAGAGAGAAACGCACTATGAAGAAAGAGGGTTAAAAAATGAGCGCTTCTCTCATAAAACAAGGAATCCTTTTATACCACCAAACAGCCTTATTTCAGCTGTCTTTTGATTGATGCCATTCATTCTGACAGGTTTTGGATTTGTCAAGTTGGACCTCAAGACCAAAACAAAGAAGGGAGTGGTAAGGATCTTTCATTTTAACATAATTCCTAGGCAATAATAGTGCATGTGAGTGTTTTTCATTATATACGAAAGGACACAGAAAATACCCACTAGAATTGTGTGTATCTCATGAATTATGAAGAGAGTTTTGAGCAGGATATTTACTATCTTGCCCGCCCGCCCGCACACCCGCCCACCTGCCTGCCTGCCTGCCTGCTTGCTTATTTATTAATTTTATTATTAATTTGTTTTATTTCTAGGAATTCAAAACCAATGGCTCATCCAACAATGAAACTGGAAAGGTGTTTGGAAGTTTAGAGACCAAGTACAAGTTTGATGACTATGGTGAGTTGTCATCCTACAGGCATTGTTGCCAATCAGTTCATATCCCTGATGAAAATCCTTACTGGTTCACAGCACTATTCATATTTATACCATCTTAAAAACTTTCAATTGTCTCAGTTTTTGTCTTTGTCTATCAAAAAGTTATTAACTGTGACCCTTATGTAGTGCGAATTGAAAAACCATGGGCACCTAGAAATATTCTAGGAATGTTCTATTTAACAAATAGACATCAGTATTTTATGTGTCTGTCCTCTTATTGATGATAAATTGCGTCATCGCATTGTCAAAGTAGTGTGGATTCACGAGGCGTAGCTGAGTACATCTGCATACTACTTTGACAATATGATGACGAAATTTATTGTCAATAAGAGGACAGACACATAAAATACTGATGTCTATTTGTTTTTTTACAATAACAAAAACGATAAAAACTTATCATTTTTACTGATCAAAACAACTAACGGAAAGAGTGTGTGCTCGTTGACGTCAGCTTTGTCTGTCCTCTTATTGATGATAAAAAATAACCAATCAGCGTGCGAGAAATTTGTAAGTTATTGTAAAACGATAAACATAAGCCAAACCCAAAAAGAGCCTGACTGGGGGAGGGATGTTGTAGGTTGAGATTGGTCCCTGCATTTATGACAGTATTTCTTTGTCAATAGGTATCACTTTGTCTGAGAAATGGACCACTGATAATGTTCTCAGCTCTGACATCGTCGTTGAGGATCAGGTATGTTTCTATAACTAGGGCTATAATGTTGCAGCCTGGACTAAAAATAACGGCCTGTCTTCTGACAATATTTGGACAGATTATTATTATTATTGGAACTTGTCTTGTCAAATCTTTGCCTTTTTATTCAAATTGACCAGTAATATTGAGCCAGAAATGATATATAAAGAAGCTAAAACTAATTTGGCTGGCCATTATGACCAGGAAATGACCAGAAATTATTTTTATCCTTTTTGATGTGTTGTATTCAAGTTTTAAGTAAGCCATGATTGCAGCAATTCAGACCACGCAGAAGATAATCATCACAAACTTCATCTTTTCAGATTGCCAAAGGACTCAAGCTGGAATTTGACACCACATTTGCCCCTAATACTGGGTAAGTTGACGTGTGCTTTGACAATTGAAGAACCTTTCCCCCCTCATACTACCATGAAATCCCAGTTTTGAGCCAACTAATCTACTAATGCAAATTGTAAATATCCCCCCAGTTATAAGTCCACCTCAGGTATCTCACATTCACGGCATTTATGATGCAAAAGATTGACTGGGAAAATAAGAGAATAAGATAACTCTTTCATCTCTTTTTCCTTTTCGGTCATAAGCCCACCAATTATGATCCCATGAAAAGAACCTGATGAAAAAGAACAAATGAGTATAAGCTCGAGCCTTATGACCATGGCTTATAATCCAGGCTTAAGAATAACGGCCGGACATTGTCCAATGTCCGGCCAGAACTGGGACCTGTCCTGTCAAATCTTTGCCTTGCAAGTCATGGTGACCAGTAACATTTATCCAGAAATGAAATATGACTAAGCTAATTTGGCCTGTGATCATGAAGGGCGACTTATCATTGGGTTTTGGGTTAAAATTTTGATCATATTTTATTGATTTCCTTGACTGATAGAAAAAAGTCAGCCAAGATCAAGAGTGCATACAAGTCAGACTACGTCCATGGTACTGCTGATGTAGACTTTGATTTTGCTGGACCTACTGTTCAAGCATCTGGAGTAGTTGGGTAGGTTACATTAGTTAAACTTAAGGCAATAAATTGTTGTTTTATTCATATTGTGTCGTGTATTAGTGTAGTTACTTTCATGTTCTTTCTTTCTTTTTCCTAATAATGACCAAACATCGACATTTATCACTTGTAGTTGCTGGGCTCAAAATAATAGCGACCTTAAAGTGTATATGACACGAAAAAATTTCAATGTTAAGAATGTGTAGTTTATTGGCATTAATAAGAATATCACGGTTAAATTTGTTCCAAAACGTATTTCTCTAGAAATTCAAAAAATTTTAGCACGAGTTGTGACGTCATTTTGTTTACAAGTCTCCAGATTTAGTTGCAAATACATGAAATATGTTTGAATGTAGAATCTTAATTTCAGGTAGTACACTTTTCAATTTCCCAACATTGGAAGAGTACTACGTAAGCTATCAAATGAAGCTGACTAAAATATGTCTTTTGTTGTTAATTTATATGAATTACAATTTATATTTAGTACATTACTACTGAATCTAGAGTACGTGTCAACAAAATGACGTCACAAATTGGGATTAACTTTCGCAAATATCTCAAGAACAAAGCTTTTGAAACAAATTTTGTTACGATATATTTATTATTACTAACAAACTATACATTTTAAATGATGGAATGTTTTCGTGTCATATACACTTTAAGATTTTCAAAATCTATGACAGCGACACCAACCAGAAGCGTAAATAACTTCACAAAGTTTTGTTGTCTTCCCTTTGAAGGACTTGACTTTATTAACAATGTTTTGAATGGAATCTCCAATGAACAGAACCCCAAAGAGAAATTATTTTCACTTCCGGTTGATGTTGCTGTCGTAGATTCTACAAATCTTAAGGTTGCTAATGGACAGTCAATGGACAATGTCCAGCACTTATATGGCCAAATGACTCTTAGGTCATTCTGCTTGACTGTTCACATATTGATCAGTATGATGTTAAAGTACCATAAAGCAGCCACTATTTATATATAATTATCGTTTTTTAAGCTTTAATGTCTGTTTAAAGTATTTAATAAAGACTATTATTATTATTATTAATAATATTTTTATTTCTTCTTATCATTAGGTACGAAGGCTGGGTAGCTGGATATCAAGCAGCTTATGACACCTCCAAGTCCAAACTGATAGCTAACAACTTTTCTCTTGGTTATCGATCCAGTGATTTCCAGATTCACTCTTCTGTGTAAGTCATCTCTTATATTCCAGTTTCAAGTTCTCTGTTGCTCAGAGTCGGCTTTGATTTTGCATAGAATTTTCACACGTTTTGGTTAAAGTCTGCGGAATTTCAAAGTGTTTCTAATGTTGAAATTGTGCATTCTATACTTTGGTATTTATGAATGATAAGACACTGATTCGAGGCTAACCCTGAGTAAATAGGTTTGTAATCAAGCAACATAGCAGTAATTTGGATATCAAAATTGGTCTATTTTTCTTTCCAAGATATCATAAAGACATTTTTACGGTATATCTTTAGGAAACCATGATCACTAAGATGCATGGAATGCCTATTGTCTATTAGTCAATGACTTCAAACTGAAAGACAAATCTAAGGCCCCAAGTTCAAACTGAATGTAGAATAAAGGGAAAAATGGATGGCTGACTAAATAGTATGCAGGATTCGTGCAGCGAAGCAATATACATTTAGCTTTTAAAGGCAAATGTTTTGAATGTCCTTGAAAATTCATATTCTCGTCCTTAATTAAATAATCCTTGAAAAGTCCTTAATCTTTTCCTTGTGAATCCAGCATAAACCCTGAGTACAAGGTATGGTATTGTGGTTACAAGTTTGAAGTACAGAAGATTTTTATTCATTTTATGTTTTTGCTGTGTTTAGACATGATGCTTCAAAGTTTATGGGATCCATCTATCACCAGGTTTGTAACACACAGTAATTAATAATCATATTAGCTTAGCTTATCCTAAGAATCAACAGGGGTATAGTAGTAGCGCATTTGAACATGGGTCACATTGGTGAGAGGCAACGCATTAGCAGCGCAATTCTGAAACTAAGCATGCATCTGAGAAAATTGAATTAAGTTTCATAGATATCACTATTTTCCCTTAATGTTCGTTATTAGTATATTTAGTATTAGTATTTAGTATTTGTAAAATGTTTATTTGGAGGAACTTCATAATGGAACAAATAACAGTGAAGTTCGGAAGTGATTGCTCGGCCGCCATAATACTTGGTTCATTCATCTGATATCTAAGTCTGTTTATTACTTAAGGGACATGTCAAGCCAATAATGTAACACAAATATAACTTATTAAGCAGCAGTAAAGCTTGATAAAACATCCATGAAGCATGACTCCGGGCGACTTGAGTTTGTGGGACCAAACTTTCGGCCAGCTTCAATGGATACCTATGGGTCTCTTGTCCTCTCCCTCAACTAGTTTTTTTGTTT